GCTCGTTCGAAAGAAGAAAACTTTCTTTTGTTTCTTGATGAGTTCAATTTTTTCTTTTCCGTTATTATGATGACTGAAACTTGGTACCGTAGTGAAACAGACGTGTTTTGTATTGACGGATATAATGTTGTGTACCAAAATAGAGAATTGGTGGTGGTGTATGCTTGTATGTCAAAGCTGAAATAACGTACGAGTATCGTGAAGATCTGTCTCTGTGCACCGATGACCTTGAGGCGTTAACTTTATCACAACTACATTTTTGTTGGAATTTACAAGCCACCTAGTGGCAATTTTGATTCATTTATTCAATATTTAGAAAACCTATTTTTCGTTGTAAACCAATTTAATTACAAACTAGTGCTGGGAGGTGATCTTAACATAGATATGTTGAGCGACACACATAAACAGATGAGACTTTCAGACCTTCTTGCTTCTTTTTTCTTAACAAACGTAATTATAGAATTCCAACACGTATTACTGATACCACTTCCACTCTATTAGACTTGTTTATCACAAGTAGTACAAACAGTACGTTACAGGCAGGCGTCCTGCGTGCCCCGATAAGTAATCATTTGCCCATATATCTTATCATAGAAAACATCACCAGTGTAAGGAGTCAAATGCTTCCTGCCGCTCACTTTCAACAAATTAATCCGCGAACGCTATCTTCCTTTAGAGAGGAAATTAGAACTCTCAATTGGAACAACGTTCTATCTAGTTCTTCTGCTGATCTTGCTTATGATTGTTTTATTGATACTCTATGTTCAGTGTATAAAAAACATTTTACTTGCAAAGCTTTAAAGAGACCAAAACGGGCGCGGAAACCTTGGATTTCTTCCGCAATACTCAATATGATAAAAGAAAAAAATAGGTTGTATCAAGAGTTTCTGATAAAGCGAGACCCGGATAAATTTAAAGCTTTTAAAGTATAAGGAAATAAACTCGCTAAACTACAAAAACAAGCTAAACGCGATTATCCCTTCAAGAAGTTTGACGGTGTCACCGATTCTAAGCAATTATGGAACAAACTTAATGCTATTATATCTACCTAACAAGTGTCTAATGATATTAGTGAGCTGGTGATCGAAAATAAAGTATACAAGGGCGCAGTACTAGCAAACAAATTTAACGAGTACTTTACCTCACTAGTTGACAGTAGTCATAATTGTGTTCATCAGGTTATTTGCCTCCTGCTTTAAAAAATTCTGTGTTTGCAAATCCTACAGACGCGCAAGAGGTCATCAACGTTTTTCAGCATTTCAAATTGAGAAAGATGGCGTAAAATTAGAACCTATAATAAATATACATTTTAGATCTCATATGCGCCTGCTTAGTACATATTTATAATCTCGTGTTCACCACTGGGCTGTTTCCTCAGAGAATGAAAAACGCTAAAGTAACGGTTATATGTAAGGGTGGGGACAAAAGCAATTTAGGAAACTACAGACCAATTTCGATTTTACCAGTTTTCTCTAAGGGGTGTGAAAAACTTATTTTCATTCGGTTCTCAAATGTCTTTAATCATTCGGTTATCAAATTTCTTTGATAAACACAACATTATTACGCCGTCACAGTTCGGTTTTCAGTCAGGCCTCTCAACCGAAAGTGCCTTACTATACTAAAAGGAATTGATTCTAAGAAATATAGAAGCAAAAAAACTTACCCTAGGAATATTTTTAGATTTCTTGAAAGCTTTCGACAGAATAAATCATATTTTGCTAGAAAAACTTCACTGTTATGGAGTTCGCGGTATCGTTTTAGCTTTAATAAGAAGCTACTTATCTAATAGAAAACAATGTGTATCAATCAATCGGGAGCTATCATCATCCATGAACGTTAAGAATGGCGTACCTCAAGGTAGCATTTTGGGACCCCTATTATTTAATATTTTTATCAACGATATTGTACGTATTGACAGCTCTGTAAAATATGTAGTCTACGCGGACGATACTAGTTTTTTTTTTTCTGGAGAAACGGCTGATGACCTCATTGTTTCTGCTAATGAAATACTAAATCAAATGTATGCCTGGACTGTGGCAAATTCTCTACACATTAATTGCTCTAAAAGCAAGGCAGTACTGTTCCGTGCGAAAGCCAGGTAATTTAAAACGTCTCACAAGCTAATACTTAATAACGTTGAAATTAAACTTTGCCAAACAGTTAAAACTCTCGGTGTTCATTTTCACGAACATATGGCATGGAATTACCATGCAGAACACATTAGTCACAAACTTTGTAAAGTTCTAGGTGTGTTGCGTCGATGCCAGAACATACTATCTGTGAAACAAAAAAATATTAGTGTACAATGCCCTTTTCTCTTCACGTTTACACTATTGTCCTCTGGTCTGGTCTACAGGCTCTAAAGCATCTCTAAAGAACCTGGTCGTGTTACAAAAAAATACCTTGCGGTGCAGTGAAGGTGTATCCTATAACGCACACACTGCTTCAATATTTGCAAAATATAGAATTTTAAGAATTACCTGTTATTACGAATAGCAGCTTCTGTCAGCTTTTAAATCAGAAATACGCAGAGGAAGTATCTTTTTACGCACCTTGGCCACCTTGCAACCAAATCCTGCCAGTCGCGTTACTCGCTGTACGGAGACTTGGCACGTACCTTGTCCTCGCACAAACTATGCATTTGAAACACTACGTTACCGCCTTCCAAGTGTGGTGAACAAATGGAAACTAACAACTGATAATCTGCGTATATTGTCTAAAACTGAAATGTTACATCGGATGTGCTGATTGTGTTGTAAATGAATGTTGGGTGATTTCTGTAATGGTTATTCAGTTTTTATTCTTTCATGCATTGCTTTGTTATGAATATTTGTGTATGTATTTTAGAGTTGTTATTCTATTATTTGCTGTCATGGACCACATGCGTGTTTCTTTTTGTATTGTCGCTTTTCGCTGTCTGTAATGTTTGTAATTTTTTGTAAATTTGTAGTTTAGATTTTTTTCTGGGTGAAGGGGCCAGTCAAGCTGTGAAATGCAGCTTTTTTCCCTTCGCACCAAACCACGTATACATTGTATTTTCGTGTACTTGTCACGTGGTTGAATAAACTCAAAACTCAACTCACACTTATAACAAAGTTACGTTAGAAGTTGTCATCACGATTATAACAATCGTGATGAATAAAGCCATAGTTAATTATGACTACCTGCATCTCTTTCTATCATAACTTACCTTAGTCGAAGATAAAATTACGCCATGACCTCAATTTGCACGAACAATTTTGACCTAGACAAAATAGGTAACCGCTAAATGAATACGACAAACAATAAATAGCCTTGTCATTTGGGCGGAGAAAAGTGGTCTGAAATCATAGACCAACATCGGTTGCACACAATAATCCAAAATTCGCGCCACTAAAACGAAAACTGGTAGCGCAGGCTAGTTGCTCTCACCAACCACTAGGTGAGCTAGTGTCGATTGGGCCTCCGAGGTGTATGGTCCACTCCTAATTTACTTATAATTTTTCTCTGGACGCAGCATCGCGCTCCTCTGACTTGATTTCACAATCAGCCTTATTCTATTTTCGTGCACTGCCTGACGGCAGTTTGGTAGGACGTGGCCGCTCATACGGCTTGGCTTACGGATGCCTCCGAGACGAGGCGGCTCTTGACGACTTAGGTGTTCGTTTCTTGCTTTTGATTTCAATGTTAGGCCTCACCCAAACGGGCAAGGCCTTGCAAAAATTGGCCTATAGGCTCATTGGAGTGTCCCTCCCCACGGTAATCTTTAGTAAAAGGCGAAAGATTAGTGCGTGGATTTGAGGAGAGACCTGAGCGATGGAATGAAACTGACATTCAATCTGGCGCTTTCCAAACGGTCCCTGCGTCTTGATCAAGGATAAGCACAAGTTGTTTTCAAGTTTATAGCTTTTATATAAAACTAGTTTTTGATTGCACTAAACGTATTTCTGTCCAGTGCGTATGAAAATGTACTTCTTAGTTGATACACTTTATAGGTTGTCACCTGCTTGCGTAAGAACTAAAGAACGGTGAAAATTGTGTACACTTCGCAAGGCTTGCATTTCTACGCAGAGCAGTCGCCATCTGGTGTTGGCTGGTGTTAACACAAAACGTGTAGGTAATTTTACGATGCGGCCATAGAGAAAAGATGCGGCCACAGAACACCATTTGATGCGGCGATGACAGCGTATGTCCTTTGGCGTTCGAAATTCGCCTTTTGGCGGCTATCGTGGCTTGTTTGGCAATAAGTGCTTGTGAACATGTTTAAAGCCAAAGCGAAATCTGTGGCGCAAGTGCTCGGCACAAGCTTAGAACGCCAGCGACCGCTTGGCGACCGTGAAACGCCAGCGGCTTCGTTTTGCTAACGACGCAGACCTGCCGTTTTTTTTTTTTTTTCTTTTGCCAACACCTGCGCTTGTTCGTCTGAACGCCCTTTGTCGAAAATGTGGCCATCTGGATTATTTAAAGGTTAGGCTTAACCAAGCCGACAAAGTAAGGTTTGCTGGGCAGCTGCATTAGTTCAGTATTTTCTCGGGAGCCAGACGGTGATTGCATGATGAACCATGCGAATGAATGTTCAGCTGCAGGTCTCGAGAGCTGCTTGCTTGACGTTCTGCGGGCCTCCCAACGATCGTTCCGCAGTCCAGGGTGACGTACATGTTTCAGCTCACGTTATGAAGGCATTCTGTTGATTTCCCCGATTGCTGTCGTTTCTGCTCCGTTAGCGGCAAGACGTTACATAAACCAGCTGCCAGATTTAGGAGTCAGTGTTGCCGGATGGCCGCCAGATGAGGCAGAGAAATTTGTCCATAAAGTTGTGCCTTCTCCATCAGGTCTCTTGTGTCGCCCGTGGTGCATTTTGCGAGTGCGACGTTGGCCGTTTTATTTACCGGAATGAACTGCGCGTTGCAGTAGTCGGGGCGCCTTTTCTTGCTGTGTGTACAGCTGTGCAATTGATAGGTCAAAATACAAAGGGAGCAAAAATATTTGACTGGCTGAAAAGTATCAGTTACGCACTTCAATCAAGACAGAAAGTAAAAACAAAGTTTTATTTCATTCAAGGCACTTGAAAGAAAATATTGAGACATTACTTAGCACATTTTGTCGCCTTTACTACAATGCACGAAAACGAGAGCACACTCACACTCAAAACTTGATTCATCACGAAAGAAAAAAAGGTTCTAATCAACTTCGATACAGTGCAACACTATCGATCGGCTCGTGACACATGCATCTCAGCATCTATAAATAAAGTTCAAATGGTGGTTTTGGGACATTAAACCCCACATATCAATCAATCAATCAATCTATAAAGTGCACCTCTTCAATTTCTCGTGCCGTTTTTCTCCTTAAATCTTGCTTGCACGCTTGTTTTTGTTGATAGATGTGGAGATGCGTGTGTCACGAGGCCGTCGATAGCGTTGCACCCTATAGACTTTGATTACCGTAGTAGTTGTCACTAGAACATTCTTTTTGTGTGTTTTTATCCTCCTGTCAGTCTTTAGTTTTTCGCATACATGTGCACATTCTTCAAATAAATTCAGTTAGTTTATCAGATGATTTTGTTAGCGTTCGTAGAACTAATCACAGAAACGTGAAATGCCCCGAGGAGGTGTGTTTTTACGATGCCTACGCAGCTGCAGTGACCTTTGTAGGAAAGCCGTATTCTGGATTTATTATGTTTTTTGTAGTGTTCATATGCAGAAAGGCTAACCTTGATGACCGGTTGTCGATATGAGGGCATGTATATATTTTAGTGTCACCCGAAAAGTTCAAGCATAAAAAAATTTGGGAGGTGTCGGAACCCCCTCAATGGTCCTTAGTTACAGCCCTGCTTTGCACATACGCGATGATTGCTGGTTAGGTGGAGCCGACCAGCAGCTCCTCTAATAAAAATAAAAAAAGAAGATTGAGCAGGCATTGGCCCAACAATGTGTCAACACTAACCGCTCAGCGCAAGTACATTACAATGTCGTATACCAACTAGCACAAGTTGAAGCTTTTTTTTTTTTTTTTCAACGCAGAGCTTCCGTGTGTTGCTATCTCGAAACGGATCTGTCACTAGGTGGAGTATTGACGAGTCAAAGTTCTTGGTGCCAAGTAGCATTGTGTGGGCTGTCCTGAAGCCATTTCTGGTAGGCAGCGACGGGATCCATCATCCAAAACTTGTGGAACGAGATTGGTCGCTGGTGTGACAGTAGCTGACGACTGTAGTCATCTGGCCTTCCCTGGAAGAGAACGACATTCATCTTGAGTTCCTCTTTTGAGCGTTTACATATCAGACGAACAAATGCACGCGATTGCCGTAGTTTGGTAATAACATAAGCACACTACTAAAGGGGAGTGCGGTGGTTCGATTGAATGAATTCCTTAAAATTTTCGTTTTGCATGTATGTATGCATGCAAAACAAGCGCATGTACGCACGGATATAGATAAAATACACCCTCCTCCCCTTTCGGAAATAATTTCTTGCTGCACTCCAGATTAACAAAGACTATTTACAACTGCCTTTGAGTAAATGATATAGTAGCAGGATGACTGTTCAATTACTGTAGCTTGTAAAGGAAGTGAGTTTTTTTTTCCATGAGTACTTGGACATGTCACAAACCAAATCATACTGAATTAATAGAGATCAATACGTCGAGTGCAGTAGCAGCTGCAAGATCATAAAATTAAGGAAAGACTGAGAGTAAAAAAAAACATGTTGAAAGGCTTCTTAGTGAAGGTGGGAGGGTTCATCACTCCAGGGACCCTTTGGCCTGGAACGGCCACTGAGGCCAGGCGACCAGCTTCGGCTTAGTGACCGCATCATCCAACGCTTCACTCAGGACACTCGGAAATTTCAGTAGACTAAAGATAACATTCAATAATTCAATGAGCGGGGTTCTACGGTATTTGAGGGGACAGTATAGTTGCCATAATAGACAAAGTGCATCTATGTCACTAACAACGAAATAATTTTTCGTGAAATAGACTTCTCTCTGAGACCTACAGCGCTTTATGAAAATTTGTCTATTATTACACGCAGAATTTACTATTCTAGGCGACAACCTTTACTGGCAGTACTGCGGGAGCCAGAGTCGAAACGCTTGCCTGCACATGCACCGAGAAATAGCACCTATTTTTATTTTGAAATTTTCACTTGCCTTGCTCGGATAAATAAAGCTTTCGTCATACAAAAATAAAACGAGTATGAGAAGCAGTTGGTCTAAAAATATTTTGCGCACTTCAAGTTTCTTCTTTTTTTTTTTTTTTCATTTCGTAGATGCCACTTCGTTTTTCACATGTCTGTTTTCGCAGTAAACATTGCGTCACGTAAGCCGGCTGCGGCTGGATCGTGTGCAGTCGCGAACTCGCTAGCTCTTTCGTTCTCAGAGAAAGATACGCTTGAAATGCGACCGAAAATGGCCACCATAATAGACACAACTTATCTGCAACGTCCATGCAAGGTTAATTAAAGTGCCGCAAGCCTGAATCGTCAGCGAATGCTGCGGGCAAGCATAATCGAAAATAAAACGGAAATCAGCTACGAGCTGGGGGAATACTTGCGTGGTAATTCAAATGTGCAGATGCCTCACCTGTGCTCTTGCTGAATTAATTCGCCGAAAGCAGCGTAGTGCGTTGCCATAGTCCTCTCTTCTTTTCTAAATAGGTGTGATCCCCTCCCCAAAAAACGCACTGCCGAGGCTGTTGTGACGTCAACCACTGTACTTTCCCGCGCGAACAGCGTGGTGGAGTTTTTTTTGTTCTTGTGAAAAAGTCTATTGGCAGATTTTTACATGGATTACTTTCAGTTACAACATAAATCAAACTCTGTCAGATCATTCAGGCATTATGATCACATTTAAAGGGCGTCTTCTTCACTTCTCTCGTAGTGATGGCGTTGTTCTCATACGCTTCCCAATATTGTTTGGAGTTATTGCATATTCTTGACCAGAGATGTAGAATCGCGCTTAATACAAGTTGCAACACGCTATCTGTTCTCAATAAGGCGCCAACTCTGCAAAGTGTCACTTACACAAGAAAAAACATTTCGGAATTAAACCGTCTTTAATTAGCTGTACATTCTGAACCAATGTAATGTTTGTTGGTGTTATTGTTCAGGCTTGGGGTCCCTCTAGTCACAGCCAGCGTGTCGTAATTGATATTGAGCGCGACTGTGCATTGTCATTAGCCTTATCTTCTACGTTTATTTATGTTGATTGTACCTCGGTTTTTATACTTGGGAGTTTTTGTATGCGTTTGTTTTATACGTGCTATATATGCGCTAGTTTTCGCAAGTACAAAGATATCCCTGTCAGGCAGTTGTCTTTAGTGTCTCCTACCTTTGTTACGACAAATAAGCCTCGATTTCATTCGGTTATGATGGCCCTGAGCCAGTCAATTCAAAGAGCGGCATCAATACGCGGCAATAGTGAAAAAGTATCAAATAGCAGCTAGGTTGCGCAGCGTCACCAGAAATGTTTTCCAGGGTGCGTGGTGTTCAATCATACGTTGTGCATGTCAGCGCATGCATAAAGACACATGCCAAATCGTAATTTTGGGAGGAAGGTTTCGAACCCTTCACTCGCATGCATACATGGCTGATAGTAAAGCAAAAAAAATTACATAAAGGTGATAGGATAGACGACTTAATACCACAACTTCGTGAAACACGACAGCCTCGCGACTAGGAGCATACGTAAGCGAAACGAAAATGAATGCGCGCTTACACCAATCCGGCTGTTTTTTTTTTATGCAAGAACGTACAAGAAAACGCTTGCGCATATTTGGATGAACCGGAAAAACCAGCAACTGGTGTGCCGCATGCACAGTCGAACAATGTATTAATAAGCACCGCGAACTTAAAAAGGAAGGCAGCTGCGCCCGCGGGCGAAACGCCAAACAGCAACCTTACCGTTTCCTTCAGATAAACGTTGAATAATTTATTGGAAAAGAAGCGAATATACGACGACCTTGGATCGCGAATCGCAAATGCAATAAGATCACACTTAAACCTCGCACGTATCAGCATTCATAAAGAGAAGCAAAGTTTTAAGAAACTCATAACTGCAGCTAACCATGGCTTCTGCCCTCAAATCGGCTAAAGTGTGAGTTATATGGTAACGACCATGGTTCTCCCATAGTAGAGTACTCTGTACTCTAAATCGTTACCCACTTTTACTACCCCCCCCCCCCCCCCCCACGACCATGGTTCGGATGTGTTACGTGTGTATATTTGATTCTTTCTCGGCGGCCGTATTTTTGATGGTCGCGAAAACGTTTGAGGACTGTGTGTTTAGACGTAAGGTCAAAGAAACCCAAGTGGTCGAAATTTTCAGAGCTCTCCGATACGACGTCTTCCATAATCATACGGTGGTTTTCGGGCTATGCTGTGTGTGTTTACTTCTAGACGCACGAGAAACCCGACAACGCAGAGCTGGTGGTGGTGCGCGGGCCCGGCACGCCCAACGAAATCATTTTACGGGGGCGCGATTCGAAGAGAGAAATTCGAAAATAAACACTCTCAGACTGAACGCCACACGTGTCAGTTGTACATTTCTCGACCTCTGCAAACACTGCAGGGACGTCGAACCCCATCAGTTATTATTCTTATTAAATTCTTTTTCTCGTTGTACCACACTTAAGCACTACATAAATGCTGCATATACTGGCAGGCGAGAGACGTGTTACGTTTATGCTGCGGTCAATTAGCCACTCTGATGGGTATTCTTCTTAAAGTGTAGACCGACGCCTCACTAATTGGCATGCATGGCAATATGACGTGATTTACCTACTTAATACTGTCTAGAACACCAAATGACGAAGTAGTAGTTCGGTAACACGGGAGCGACTTCTTAAGCAATTTGCAGCATCAGGCCACTATAGTCAGACTGACTCAAAACTTGGCAGCATGTCTAGACAAATCACAGTGCAGTATACCTGATGGAATAGCGGTGAATGCACGAGGGACACGCCCAGCTGTTTTAGGCACACTCCCAGGGTCATGTCGTCGGGCGAGTCGGCCTTCGAACAGGAGCACGGCGAGTTGATGATTCGCTCCACGGTCTTGCGACTGAACACCATCCTGCGCAGGCAAACCACATGCTATAGCGAAACACAAATAAACTCTCGTATTCTATGTGGATGCTGGCTGCTGGAGATGAAGGGTGCAGCCAAGATTTTATTGCCGTGGCAGGAAGAAAGGTGGTTAGGGAGCGATAGGAGCGATACCCTCTCACCCCATTCCGTTCCTCTCCTTGGCTTGATTCCTAAATTATCCTTCAAGATGGATAACCTGCGACTGTCTCTAACGGCGTGGCGGTTAGCCATGGTCATATGTGCAATGACTTTCTTCGGAGTGCTCTTTTCCCATGCGGTGTAGTTAAGTTTAGCCAACCACGCATGACACGTGGTTGACATTTCTGCAAGTTTTCTTTCTTTTTTGGTGGGCAGACTTGCCTGCTGACGAGCACTGGAAATAGTCTATAAGCAAGTTGCTCAGGAGGTCAAAACAATGTCACACAATCTCACCATTACGCTATACGCCTCCTTCAGCCGTGGCTGCTTTGCAAGAGCAGTGGTCTTTCGTTATGCCAGTGTTGTCAAATTCATATAGGAATAAAAGGGAATAACCCACCAAAACTCGGTTGGCTTGAAAGCCATTCTTCGACCGTTTGGGCTAAACTTACAATCTCACCTACAGTACTACCATTAGGTGGTGTGGCATTTTTTTTTTATTGGCTACAGCCTAACCTAATACAATGAATGCATAGACTTTTTAGAGGAGGGAAAAAAAAACGCTGCTATGTTGGGTTGCACATAGGAGAACAAAGGCTGAAGTCAAAGCTTCAGCAGTACATTGAGGGGGGGGGGGGGGTCACGGCAATTTGCGCAGGCCAGAAAGCACCATGGCGGCGCCCAGAAAGCTGTTTTTAAGAAGCTCTATACCAACCCCGAGCCTCCTGTAAGGTAGTCGTAGCCACGCTCAGTCGTTGCGCCGAATCCGTAGCGCTCGCCGAGAGCCACGTCCTCTTCCGGGTCGAAGCAGCTCAGCAGGTCCAGGAGACGAGGTATGCTGAAACAAGAGGAACCGTGCGCTGTATTGTCAAGCAGCCACTTTCACGGATATCTAATAACTACCAGGACAGGTATATTTCACGTGCCATATAAGTAAGCTGGTACGTGCAAAGGCATGCCTCGCAATATGTCAAAATGTTATAATGTCTGCCATTCAGAAATCGCGCGCCAAGTTTCTAAAGGAAACAGTCGGGCATGAGTGAACACAGCGTAATTAAACAACTTGTTCACCCCAATGAAGAACCCAAAATATTATCATTCCAGGTATACCTTTAAACACGTATAGCTTGTCTTAGAGTCTTTTCACCATGCCTAAATAAAATTAGGTACAGGAACCAAACACTTTGTTTCCTTTCACGTTGGGCCACATTGCGCATGTGGGTTTCATTATTTGGCAAATAGTACTGGTACGACTGACTAGCTATTGTCTAACCAGTAAACTAGGCTTGTGCAAATAGTGAATTTCAGGTTTGAAGGTAATTAGAAGCGAATAGCATATACCACATGTTATAAAGGAAAATGGGCATATTTATCATGACTTGGGTAACCTACACAATACTGTTTTAAATAAGACCTCTGTGCAAGTGCAATTTTGTTCAAAGGAAGTCTAAACAATATTAAATAGTGGCAGGATTTTAATTTTGGTAGAATGCAAATGATAACGTGTAAAATATATTACATTTTAAAATTTACTATACTTCTAGCATGTAGACCAGCATTAACAAGCTTTAAAACTAAAGAAAAAAGGAGGAATTGATTTGAGGGTAACATTTATTTTAAAAAGACCTTGCAACACTTCAAGTAGGCATGGAACGAATTCACATCAGGAACTTATTGCCTCGCAAATCCACCATCCCGAAAATTTTTAGAAATCATTCAGTATGAGCGAAATTAAAGATTTGTCATGCTGGAATTGTATCCTCTCTATTCTCGTGGTTGGGAGATTTTGGAGCTTGTAGCCTCATTTGTCAAGAGAAGAAAAGCAACTTTTAGCCGACTTATTTTTTTTGTGTGAATTGCAGGTCACGTGCTGAGCTAAAATAATTGGTTCGCGTGTTCTCGGGAATCTCTACTACCGATCTGTGGTGTTTTCTGACCATACTCAAATGGTGTTTCAGGGCCCCTATAACCTTGAAGCAGGGCAAAGCAGATTTTTCCTGGATAGGTTCTTTCACGGTTTAACACCGTTACACTGAAGTGAAACTACTTTTACAGGCGGTTAGGCGCGGACTAATGTACACTTATTCATTGATTGCGAACACTTCAAAAGTTTCAATAATTTAAATTTCAATCGAAGCGAATTCGAACACTGTACTATTCGTTCGAATAATCTAAGCACTCGAATATTTGCACAATCCTACAGTTAACACATCAATTATAGTACCCTGAAGCCATCCGCGTGTTACATTGCAAATATTCACAACTCACCCAAAGGACTTATAGGACTCACCCAAAGGGCTCTGCTTGTTTACCATTGTAAAAAGTTGTACGAAACAGGAATGATCAATCTGTCGATCTGTAGGCTCGGCGAACGCCAAAAAGACATATTCTTAAGCAGTTCAGCTATACCGCAGTTAAGCGCCTTTCACAAGAGATGAGAAATGCAGCGTGCAATGAAGTGTGCATGTATTTGCCATCAGAGAGCATTGTGTGCAGGATCATCACCAGGATTACTGCAAAGTTTTCGCAGATTCAAGTGATTACTCGTCGAGTTACCTAGAGATCTGACTATTTTTCTATCCGACCGGCGCATATGCAAAATCGGTGAGGATTGTAAAACACAAGAAGGTAATAATATAATTTTAAAACTACTTTGGTGCGAGTAGCTTGCTTTTTGTACATGTAGAGTTTTGACAGCGGTAATGGACAATGTTTCTGTGCGTCTGGGCATGCCACTGTGCATATATGCCGCACTGTGTATCGCAAGAGCAGTCACACTTTTTGTCCCAAGCTCTACCCAACCGCACATAACGTATAGATATGAAAATACGTGCCTGATGAGTGTGTCGTCGTCTGCAACGAGCAGCCACCGTGCGAGCAGAGCGTGCGACACGGCGTGCCTTAGAATGGCCAGCGTCTTGGCGCAGTGACCACGCTCCACGTTGGCCACGCCTACCGTGACGGTCGGCACGCTGTCGTCTTCCACGTCGCTGAAGAAGAGCACTCGGTGGGCGTCCTCGGCCCAAGTCGCCTTGATCACCGGCACTGCGAGGAGCAATGAAAAGACGCTGGCGACGCTAACCTCATAGGGGACGATGACGAGATGTCGGAAGTTCTGACGTAGGCCCATATTCATAAACCAACCTCGGTCTTACCTCACGTTTTCAACTTCCTGTACCCTTCACATGCGTTCTAAAGGGGCAAAAATGGTAACAGGGCAAAATATAAGGACAAGAATGGTTCATGAATACTGGCCTAACTTCATCAAGCGCAATAACGGTGGAAAATCGATAATGAAATCTCGAGGAAAGGATTAAGTTGGTTTGCGAATACGGGCCGTAGTCACCTTTGAGAATGCAAACAAGTGACAAGCGCATGAACGTTGATGCGCGCCGTATATAGCGGAATTGGTAACAGCGCCGGGCGCTTCATTCAAAGGCCGCAAGCTCAGTCTCTGCCATCGGCAAGTTGTCTCTCTGTTGACTTTCTTCAAATATGTGTAACAATTATACATACACTGTAATATAAAACCACAATCAACACCCCCAATAATTTCCTTCGCTTCGTTAACTGCAGATTTTTATTGGCCAGGATTTATAATTGCGACTCTGGGTTTGACAAACGCAGTGTCTAGAATGCAGTGTCTTGGATTCGAACCCGTAACCCAAAGGTTATGGGTTTGAATCCTGGTCGCGGCGGCCGCAGGTCAATGTAGTCGAAACGTTAGAGGCCCATGTACTTGGATATAGGCGAATGTTTAAGAACCGCAGGTGAATGCAATTTCCGGAACCCTCCTCTACGCCTTTCATCGTAATCACATCGTGGTTTCGGCACGTAAAAACCCAACAGTTATTATTGGCAAACAGAGTGGTCAGATATATTGTACTCAAAAATGACTGTAAGCTATCAAGCCTTCCCCGCAAAATCTACTCGTGCATATCTGACTCGTACCTCGGTCTTTGTGAAATTGGCTGCACGTCTTGACTGCAATTGTCAGGGATTCCTTGGGCGCACGCTTGGCCTGCGAGAACAAATTACAAAATGCAAGCTTCGATTGACAATTGATATTCACACTCTTTCATCTTTGAGGTATCGTCGCCAAGATATATAAGCTCGCCGCCTCGGCAGCAACTTCTTTTTATCCTAAAATAAATTTAAACTGTTCAATTTTTCAGCAACCATAGCACTTTCCAAAAAAAATCACAAAACAGTAATCGTGGTGTTATGAGACGTACGTTTGCAAGATGTAACATTCAAGATGTAACGCGGCGATGTTTTTTTGTGCAAAATGTGACACGTGGCCACTTTCTTGTAGCTCACTCTACCGGGGACTCTATTCAACAATAAGACGTCACAAAGAAAAAGGTATTATCACCACTGAATATGCACGAGACGACTAACACGATGGTGAGGCATTAATTGTCTATCGCTTGCAAACGAAGCCTCATAATAATCGTAATAATAATACTAATTGGAGTCGTCTCCATTCTTTAATCTAGATAGGTCCGCACAAAAGTTTGGAAGGATGGACTCACACAAGATGGTGCCTGTACAGAGGTCCAGGTGGTGCAGCCCTCGCTACGCTCACCAAGGCAGAAGGACTCGGCATGTTCCAGTAGCAGGCCCCCGCAGTGGTCCCTCAGGAATTTGGCAATCTGCATTCCACATATGCATGTGTACAAACAGGCGGTGAATTCATTGGCACAATACTGCACACATATAACACATATAAACGTTTGTTAGCTCGAACAGGAAAAAGACGCGGGAAGCCTGAATGCAATGATAGTAATAATAATTAACTAGGATATAATGCTATAAAACCACAATATAATTATGAGGGGTGCCTTAGTGGAGGGCTCCGGAAATTTTGACGATCTGGTGTTCGCTAATGTGCACTGACATTGTACAGTACATGGTCCCTTGAAATTTTGTCTACATCAAAATGAGACTACCACGGCTGGGATCGAACCTGCGACCTTCGGGTCAGCAGCCGAACACTGCGACCGCTAACATATGCTGCACCACGGCGGACAAGCCTCAGCGCATACAAAGTCACCTGGCACTAAAAATTGGGCCTTGCGTTCTCATTTTAGTTATTTCTCTGTCGCATCTCGCAATTTCACCGCCAGATATGTGCGCGTCGCAGCGGGAGGTCGTTGGGAAAAGTTAGAAGAAGGCGATAATGGCGATAGAAGAGTTAGTGCTGTGAAGACGAACATGCGTGAACTCCTTAGTCTGCATGGTAAACTTCTCGCATTCATTATTTGTGTAGTCTCATGCGTCGAATAAAGCGCATAAACACAATGAGCACATGTTTGCACATTTCGTGCAATATGCGCACTACCATGCTCTTCACGGCGGCAACTTTCAGTTTGCCACGGGCTTTATGAGCTTATAACCTGTTTATACAGCTTGTGCAGAAGTGGGTTTCATACTATATAATATTACTTCGTATAAAACAACATACACGCAAGGCTCCCTCAATGACATGTTCATTTCTGAGTTCCTTCATAGCTCACCTCGTACTGCCGATCGATAGAGAAGTCGTCCGGAGACGCAACGTCAAGTGCTTCGGCCACCCTGGAAATAAAACATTACAAACGCTGGTGGGCACGAACGTGAACAAAGCACTGCAGTAAACTGTTAAGAAGTGTTCTCAAAATCTAGGAGTCTGCGGATGTATACAGTGATAGAGTGCGGATGTAGTGATAGAGTGCGGATGTATGTATGATAGAGTGCGGATGATACAGTGCGGATGTATCAGTGGGCACGGCGAAGCGGCTGGAAAGATGCCGCTAACGAAAGAGTGGGCACGGCGAAGCGGCTGGAAAGATGCCGCTAACGAAACGCTTCTTTTTCGTTGTACAGGCCGTGTTTTTCATGCTCGCCGGGCCATCGGAACCTTGCACTACCGGGAATGAAGTTGCGGCGATTACATCTGTCTCTGCTAACTACTGTCCAGTGCCTTCATCGAATTTGGACATACTGGATACGCCCCCTCTGGAACATTGCATGCCCGTGACGTCATCGTTGGATCGCCCTTTTAAAGACAGGCCACACAGTTGGACCTTCAGTGGGCACGGCGAAGCGGCTGGAAAGATGCCGCTAACGAAACGCTTCTTTTTCGTTGTACAGGCCGTGTTTTTCATGCTCGCCGGGCCATCGGAACCTTGCACTACCGGGAATGAAGTTGCGGCGATTACATCTGTCTCTGCTAACTACTGTCCAGTGCCTTCATCGAATTTGGACATACTGGATACGCCCCCTCTGGAACATTGCATGCCCGTGACGTCATCGTTGGATCGCCCTTTTAAAGACAGGCCACACAGTTGGACCTTCAGTGGGCACGGCGAAGCGGCTGGAAAGATGCCGCTAACGAAACGCTTCTTTTTCGTTGTACAGGCCGTGTTTTTCATGCTCGCCGGGCCATCGGAACCTTGCACTACCGGGAATGAAGTTGCGGCGATTACATCTGTCTCTGCTAACTACTGTCCAGTGCCTTCATCGAATTTGGACATACTGGATACGCCCCCTCTGGAACATTGCATGCCCGTGACGTCATCGTTGGATCGCCCTTTTAAAGACAGGCCACACAGTTGGACCTTCAGTGGGCACGGCGAAGCGGCTGGAAAGATGCCGCTAACGAAACGCTTCTTTTTCGTTGTACAGGTTAGTTTTTCTCTTTCAAATCATAGGTCTGGAGACGAAATTGTACTTCTTATTGTGCCGTGCCCACAGACATGTTTTATTATTGCATATGAATGTTATTTTGTTTGCAAGTTATTGCTGTGTGGAGATGTCGAGCAAAACCCTGGGCCAACTGTTGATGAAATGTTTCACGAGCTCTTGAAGGGACAATCTGATATCCGAGCAGAACTTGTAAGCCTTAGAGCACGTTTAGACTCAACAGAATCATTAATAAGCACCTTTGGAGTGCGTCTGAATAACTTAGAAGCAAATGTTAAGCAACTACAAACTCAGAAGGGCGTGAGCGAATCGATACAGGAGTCTGTAGATTCCATTCAGCAGTTAATTGATATTCATCAGTCCAAGCTGGTTGACCTTGAGAATCGCAGTCGCCGGAATAATCTTCTTGTATTTGGTATCAGCGCTGCTGGGAGTGAATCTGAAGCAGAGCTACGTGAAAAGGTAGTGAAGGGCATATTTCATGATCGATTAGGGGTGAAATGCACGACAATTGCGCGGATTCATAGATTAGGCAAGCCGGTATCAAGCAGACGTCCTGTTATACTTTTTTTCCAAGATTATACGGAAAAGCAAGCTGTGTTGCGTCAAGCACATAAGCTGAAGGGAACCAAAATTTATCTTCAAAACGACTACTGTTCTGACACACTCCGCAAAAGAAAACTGCTATGGGCAACTGCAAAAGCAGACAGAGAAAGCGGTAGCAAGGTTGCTCTTGTTCACGATAAGCTTCGTATTGATCACACCTTTTTCTGTTGGGATGACTCGCTTAATGCGCGTAGGAAAGTGTCACATGAGAGTGCCGTAGGGAATCCCAGCTAGCAATTAGGGGAGCATCAACTTCGTTTGCTTTGCTTCAATGCACGGAGTATAACAAATAAAATTGAAAAGTTGGAAAATATTTTGCTCACGCACGATCCTCATGTCTGTGTGATAACAGAGTCTTGGTTACATGAAGCCATTGGCGATAGCGAGATAGTTCCGCCGAACTACCAACTTTTTCGATGTGATCGTGGTCATCGGGGCGGTGGAGTGGCTGTCATTATCAAGTATGGCATTGATGTAACTATTGCTGAGCGTTTTCCAGTGAGAGAGAGTCTGCTTTTAAAACTTTCATTTGCTGATATGTCATTTTTTCTCTGTGCGGTTTATCGATGTCCTAATGCTGATGATTCTTTTATGAGCGGTTTGTACGATGAACTACTACGTCTACGAAGCAAAAATCTTATTTTAACGGGTGACTTCAATCTGCCAGCCATTAATTGGGATGATATAAATTATGGTACTTCTTCTTCGGCTGACACACTCTTAGACATAATGTTTTCTCTAGACCTTGAGCAAATGGTAGGACACCCCACAAGGGGGAGTTCGATACTTGATCTGCTATTTACAACGGAACTCTTTACCGAAGCGACTATCACAGTTGAAACCGGTATTTCTGACCATAGATTAATATCATTTGTTGGGACAGGCATGCACGTTGTAAATCAGTGAAAACGCCAGTGGAAAGTGTTGTAAGAGATTTCAATCGAGCGGATGATGTTGCAGTAATTGATTATTTAGAAACACATCTCCCCACATCTGTTAGTGATGTTGATAGAGCCTGGCAACGCTTCCGTGGTATTGTGGACTTCTGTACAAAGAACTTTGTACCGCTTAGGAGAATACGCAGGCGTTCACATAACCCATGGATAAACCGTGAGATTATACAGATCAAGAGAAAGATAAAAAGGTTACGAAAAAAACACAAGACTAGTACGCAACATTTTTCCGATCTTAAAGAAAAATTATTAGAGAGTGTTAGCAAGGCTAGGCATCAATTTTTTAACGACACACTACCTGAATTCATCAGGACAGATCCTGATAAATTTTGGCGCTATATTAAGCAAACTAAAGAAGGCGTTTCTGAAATACAAGTTGATGAGGTCACGATAACAGATCCGGCACTAATTGCTGATCATTTTAATAAATACTTTCAGAGCGTCTTTTCCGAACCACAGTATTATGAACTGCGAGACCCGATGCCCATAATCACGGATGATGTTCTGATAACTCGTGAAGGTGTTTTACAAATGTTACTTAAGGTTAATCCTAAGAAATCGTCAGGCCCTGACGGCATTGGTAATTCATTCCTACGACGCTATGCTGAACAAATCACTGACTTCCTTACTGCCCTTTTCAATGTATCATTCAAATATGGTCAGATACCAGCCGATTGGCGTAAAGCTCGTGTTGTGCCGATCTTTAAAAAGGGTAACCGCTATTCCTTGACAAACTACCGTCCTGTTTCTATCACTAGTAGCTGCTGTAAAATGTTAGAGCATGTTGTTGCAAATTACATTAACACATTTTTATCAGAAAATAATATTTTGTCGCCTAATCAACATGGTTTCCGAAAAAATATGTCTACGGTAACACAGCCTGTGTCTACAGTGCATGAATTCGCACGGGTTCTAGATATATCTGGGCAGACTGATGTGTTCTTTTTAGATTTTAGCAAAGCGTTTGATAAGGTGCCTCATGGAAAACTTTTGTTTAAACTCGAAAATATTGGGCTACCTTCGGGTATCGTTAAATGGATTCATATGTACTTAAATAACAGAACTCAATTTGTTGAGGTCAGGGGTTGTTTTTCTTCTTCGCTAAATGTTTCTTCTGGTGTGCCACAAGGTAGTGTGTTAGGCCCCTTGTTATTCTTAATTTTTATTAATGATTTAGTTGATGTCGTACATAAGGACATATCCGTCAGATTATTCGCGGATGATTGTGTTGTTTTTAAAGAAATATGTTGTGTAAATGACCACATATTACTTCAACAGTCTCTTACAAGTATAGATGAGTGGTGTCAAAACTGGGGCATGGAACTTAATAGTGACAAAACAGTTCTCTTGAGAATAACAAGAAAACGAACTCCCAGCCTTTATACTTATTTTCTCCGCAATAACCCACTCAAAGACGTAGAAAAATACAAATATCTAGGAGTCACTTTGACAAAGTCACTTACGTGGTCAGACCACATTACAAGCATATGCACGGCTGCACTTAGGAAACTGTGGTTTCTTAAGAGGAAACTTAAATCCTCAACGAAGGAGACTAGATTATTGGCATATAACACCTGCATCCGATCAAAACTTGAATATGCCTCGGTTGTTTGGGACCCTCAATGTAAAAAAGATATTGCCTTGATTGAAAAAGTTCAACGGAAGGCTGTCAGATTTATATTTAGTAAATATAAAAGATATGATTCGCCAACACAACTTATGCAACTAAATGATATCCAAACACTGGAAATTCGCAGGAAAATTAATCGGTTAACGTTCCTACACAAAATTCTTTCCGGTAAAGTTACAACAAGTCTGCCCAACTGTGTGAAACCTCTATCTTCTAGAAAAACAAGACATAAGCATAAATATTCATTGGCGCCAGTTTTTGCCCGTACCACTGCTTTTAAAAATAGTTTTTTCCCTAGGACTATTGCTGACTGGAACTCTTTACCAATAAGTGCTTTTCAGTCCGAAGATATTGAAAAACAGCTTGAAACTTTTTTTGTTTAGTTCTGAATGATGTATCCATATGGTGTGTATTCGCAGTGCCCGAGTAATGTAGTTAGTTGACTTCTGCTGCGCATGAGTGTTCTGATCACTGTTTATGTGCCGTAACTCTGTTGTGCAAGTGCACTATAAGTTGTCTAATTAAGTGCTGTGACATTGTACTTTTTTTTTTTTTGTTGTTTTTGCCCCTCCTGCTTGGGCCTAAGTATAGGCCTGCAGAACCTGTAAATAAATAAATAAATAAATAAAAATATGCGTCTACTTTCGTTTGCGTTAAGTTGGCCACAATGAACACATGCTGCATAACTGCAGTCATACTGCAAACAAACAAAAAAAAACATTGACAAAATGGCCCCACAAACCTTGCATGTGAAGCATTGTGGGTTCGTTCCACACCAACGGCAACCTGTCTATACATTCATTCAATGATTGATTGATATGTGGGGTTTAACGTCCCAAAACCACCTATGATTATGAGAGACGCGGTAGTGGAGGGCTCCGGAAATTTCGACCACCTGGGGTTCTTTGACGTGCACCCAAATCTGAGCACACCGGCCTACAGCATTTTCGCCTGCATCGAAAATGCAGCCACCGCAGCCAGGATTCTATCCCGCGACTTGTGGGTCAGCAGACAACTATAGCTTAGCCACTAGACCACCGCGTCGGGCATTCATTCAATGATTACTACAAGGATTTGACCTCGTAAATTAATCCGATAAAAAAATTTGCGCGAAATAACGCGAAACCGGACTTTTCGAAAACGGCCACCCTGCAGGACAAGCGCTTGTCCTGTGGGAATCTTCGTCTTGCATCCCGTTATTTCGCGCTCATTTTTTTTTTCATCGTGAATAACCAACTCTCCCAACAGTGTAGCTTGCAAACCTGATGATAAAATGCGTGGGAACATCTGCCTGCTGTAGGTTCAGGCGAACGTTTCCGGGTGGTGGAACTTATAAGGGACCCTCCCAGTTAATCATCGTGGTTTCGGCACATATAGCGCCACCAGTTATTATCATTGATGATGAGGAATGCAATGATAAGATGCAGTGACGCTGTATAAACATGTTTTCGTGTTCCGTTATCTGTTTCACATCCTCCATTAAACGCAGCAGCAATCCAAACAGCACGAAGCGGAGTATCGTAAAACTATAAGCACCAACCCCGGCTGGTCGGAGCTGGTGAACCGTGGTAGCTCATGATGTCTCCACCAACCTTTGCAGGGCCTGCTTGTTGAGTGCCATGCCAGCCGACAGGTCCGGGTAGGCCAGCGACCGCGGGTCATCGAAGTGGTGCACGATGGTCGTCTCTTCGTCCCACAGAGCGTGGCCCACGAACCGGGCCTCCTGCGGGCATCCACGCAAGCTCAAATCTCCGAGCGAAAGCAGTGTTGGCATTAGCACGGACTAGAGTTACTGTATATGCTACCGTAGGTATATGCTAAATGTAGCATATACAGTAACTCTAGCGCGGACAGAAGAAAGGGGGGGGGGGGGTAGAATAACCTTTAAGTATATGCTATACCTAAAGGTAGCATATACAGTTACTCTAGTAACTCTAGCGCGAACAGGCTTGCTGGATTCCGTGCCGACCCGTTGTGCCCTCGCGATCTCCGACGTCAGCGTAGCTCTGACTGACTGGGCTCGCCCTACGTCATATCCTGACGCCGACCTCCGACGACAGTGTAGCTCTGGCCGACTGGACTTGCTCTACGCCATCTCATGACGCCGACAAGAGCTCTCGCAAGTGGTGCCCCGTCCTCGGACTCCTGTGACCGTGTTTCCATCTTTCCTATCTCTCCTATCCCCTCGATATGTCGTCGCTTTCACGCTTACCTCATCTCTCTTTCTCTCTCTCTACACCTTTATTCCTATCCTTTTAATCCCTCCTCGCCCCCATTCCTTGTGAGCTACTGTTGAGGTGTCGCTCCCTGAAGCAGACAGTTACGAGGCTCACTTTTATTTTCCTTTTTACAACATAACCCCCCCCCCCCCCCCACCCCAGCGCGGACAGAAGGGGATATAAACTTCCCTTAATTTTTGGAATGTTAACAAAACCTTAAAATCGGCGAGATATGGTGTTGATGTGAATTGCGAGCGCAAAAACAAACAAACAAAAAAACAAGACATTCACAAGAACAGTAGACAGGACGGGCGCTTTACTATAATCTCAGATGAGAATAGCCCACGTCTCAATATTCCTGTAATACGCGCTCATATACAAATGCGTATGAACATGTATCTCAACCGAAAGGAGTTTCTAGCCCCACTTGTTGATGTGGAGAGACACGAGGTGCGATGCCGAACGACACTTCTGATTGCGCAGTTGCTTACCTGAGCTGAGTTGCGTCCTTGCAGAGCGTTGCGAAGCAGAGTTAGGTCTACACCCGTGGTGTCGTCGCAAAAGAAGAACCAATGACCATCTTTTTTGTGAAGCCGCTCCAGTCTGAAAATGGCACCAGAGGCAGAAAATTGCACCAGAAGCGTTTTTTTTTTTTTTTGTCGAGTGTTCTCGTGGATATGGCATTTTGTTTGAGCTAACGCGTAACAGAATGGATTCTGTTTGAGCGAGCACACTTTCTGTCTGTTCTATATCTACCCCGCTGTTCAGTAATAGGGATAGGGGGGGGGGGGGGGTACGGGTGGCGGAGGTTTAATGCCCTCCCCGAAAAATTCTGTATGCGTAATTTCGTACGGGCACAAACACGCTCGTGAACAGGAAGGAGAATCGGATCACCCTCCTTCCACCCATAGGCGTGCGCACGAAGAAAGGAGGGTGGGGGGGGGGGGGGGCAGGAGGCGCGAAGCCAGTCCTAGAGTTGCTGTATATGGTATACCTTTATACAGTAACTCTAACCAGCCCCTCACATTGGCATTTTAGAGAGGAGGTGCTGCGACGACCCCCCTCCCCCTCAAAATGGAACCCTGCCCACGCTTATGCTACCACCTCATCCTCCCCCAAAACGTCCACCACTCAGGTTCTCGTATAGATGTAAGCACGCATGCACACACACGCAGCACAACGTAATTCCGTAAATGAGATTGCCACTCTACGTGTGGGTCAAATTAATTTTCAATAAATGTCGCGGCTCCCAGTAGCCCGAACATCCCGGCATGTCATCAGCAGAATACAACAAACCATTTATAGCCACATTGAGAACTTATTTTACATTGATCAACCTCGGATAGCCAAACCTTGCAACACACGCCCTCGAGAGACACGAATGACTCCTTTTCTTTTTTTTTTTTCCATCTACAATAACTCGCTCTCCTCCATTCCCGCAACGCATACGGTTCGATGGCGCTGTCAGTCAGTTACATGAGAAGCAATGTCCCCTCGAGAGTCGCGGTGCGTTTGGTTTCGCTTTCGCATGCTTTGTTCGTCTTGCCGGCACAGGTAACCGCTTTAAAGCGTTTTATGCCGGGGTCAGTGCGTGGTATAACCAAGAAGCATTTACATGTAAGACCAAGCGTCAGCACTTGGTCTTACATCTTTATTCTATTGACTACAATCAATGATCATTGATTGATCAAACCCTTGTGATCTGTATTAGTTAACGGTGAGCGCGCAATCAGAAAATGCTGTGTGACAGCCAGAACTAGACAGTCACTGATTGGACGCCGAATTCGGGCTAAGGAACGAATAGACTCTGTGCAAGCAGCTCGAACAACGCGCAAGGATTATTCGAGCGTGCAGCAGTCGTTTAAGCCGTATCCCATGCCAAAAACGGCGCCAATTATAAAATGTAGCGTGACATGTCTTTTTTTTTTTTTCGTTAGAAGAAAAAAAAAACTGGCACCATGACTTAAACCTCTGACTATTCTGTACCGAACCTAACGAGCATGCAGAGCGCAGTTTCACCTTTTGATCAGAGGGAACACAGTCCACGCTCCCGCGACGTCCGGCCATTTCTTATGCAGCAGGTACACGGTAGGTGGCACCTGGGTCGTGCCAAGCTTGATTACTTTTTCATATATGTCGCTTGGAATGCAAAACCGAAAATTACTACGCGAGAAATTGGTTGCAAAGACACACTAATGCAGTACCTGCAGCAACCTTCAGAGAGAAATTACGCATAGGAAATTTGGTAGGCTAACCAGAGATATAATTCCGATTGACTACCCTGTATAGAGCAAATGAAGAAAGGAGGTGTGTACGTCACCAGGAGATTCTGGTCATGTCAGAATGAACCGGCTTTTCTGCCTGCAGCTACCTGCTTATCCTAAAGTTCTCGTCCGGGAGGAAAGACCAGCCGGGCCAGCGGTTGGTATACCGATGGGCGAAACAAGTGAGGGCCGCATGTCGATCATCGAATACCATTCCGAAAAATTCTCACGGTCACGTGTTCGTCGTATGGCACGTGCACAGATGTAACAGCACAACTGAATTTCGACCTCTTGGTCGTTTATTAGGGGTACATTGGCATGCGCACAAGGAAGGCAGCGGGGGAGGGGGGCTCGTCACTTAAGTTACGAGGAGGGTTGCTAAGTCAGCCTTATCAAATCAACGTAACAGGGAGTGGGCCCTGCAACTAGAGGGGGGGGGGGGGGGGTGCAAAGTTTGCCACCATGCATTGAAAATGGGGCGCGTTAACGAACCCTCGCCTTACCTCATCCTTCCTCCGTGCCTTACCTTCGCCCCCCTCCCCTCGAAGGGTAACCCTACTCACGCCTATGGATACTGACACCACTTTTCTACGGTGAGTTTCTACTATGCTACACAAGTCGCCTGTGTACAGAGACGGCTCTGGACAAGTGTGAAGCTCTGCCAAATGCTGATGATACTTTGTTCTCATCTTTTAAGGTTTTTTTTTTTTCCTTGGAGCATCTATCGGCGCCGACATTAACTTGACGTCAGGCTACAATACTTATTCTGATGACTTCAAACAGCAGGTCTTGCTAGTTGTGACGACGTAAGGTACCAAAATTTCCAAAATAGCTGTGCTCTTGCGTAACCAACGAATCCACGGCGCGGAGCGCCCGTAGAAGTGTCATCACATCTTGAGTGACCACGTGACGATAAACTCATACCATGGTGAGACGTCAGCCAGGGTACAGCAGGAACGTAAACTATAGCTTTCAAGAACATCCCGGGATTCTCGTGGTAACCTCGCCACTCACTGTAGTCAAGACCGCCGCAGGTTCATAGCGAACCACAGGGCCGCGGATACTCGCCTGCCACTCCGTACGCGCTTATAACTGGCAAAGCAGCCTCGCACGCAAGAACACAGTGTTCGATCTAACAACGGAAGCATGGGAGAGAAAGGAACCGCCGAAAGGCCCGCGCAATGGTCTCGAGCGCCTCAGATCCCCACATCTTTCAGTGTGCACTCCCGCTAAGCAAAGCATTTTTCAGGCTCTCGAGGGGTTGGCCTTTCATTTGACTCCCTTATTTCCCGCAACACCCCCTTACCAAAAAACAAGATTGATAATTTTCGCGTCAGGACCAAATTCAAACTAAAGGATCACCCGCACGTGCGTGCAAACGACCGATTTCAAGTCGTTTCAGTTACTTCAGCTGAAAAAAAAAAAAGCTTTCAGACACTTCCTATGATTATTATTACCATCTCGATCATCGGATCAAGCTCTCCATATTGTTCTGTCGCGCAAACGTTTGCTTTTCTTTCGAGTGTTCTCAGCAAAAGACGAAAGCCGTGTGGAACCATGCAGCCCCCTTTCCTATTGTCCGACCACACTAAGACTATCTTTATAGACCGTGTCTCGAGTTCATCATCTTATCTAATGCATAACCAGTTGTCTGAGAGAGAAATATTAAGTGAAAGGCAGGGAGATTAACCAAAGAAAAATTTTCGGTTTGCATCGCTGCACTGGGCGAGGGGAATAAAAAGGTAAGGAAGGAAAGACAGAAAATGTACCAAAATCTATTGAGACAGAGGAAAGACAAATACGCACGCGACCTCCGAAGACCAGTGTTATGAATTTATTGTTGCGGTGATCCATACAGCAAATCGCTTGAACAAAAAATAAAAGGAGGAAAAAATACAAATAAAAGAAGGGAGAAAAATATCCAGTTGCTGATTACGCGACATGACTATTAAATCGATATAGGTTCTTTCATAAAACGATGTAGGAAGAGATGAAGATCTAAGACGATTGTGATATAACTCAAACTGCGTTCACCAGGACGTGGCTTGCCAGGTCCGCTGGCTGTTATGTCATAATATTACCTAAGGTTTACCAACAAAACCACAATATGACTACGGGAGCCGCTTTAGTGGAGGTCTCCCGGAAATTTCGACATACAGGGGCCTCTTCCGCCACCACCGAAATTCGATCCGCCGCGATCAATCCCGTGACCTCCGGGTCAGCCGCGAGCTTCACGGTGGCGGACTTCGCTCAGATTTCACAGGCGTTGAACTGGCTTCGGTTTCATTTTTTATTTTCATTGTTTGTTCGAGTTACCATGTGATATATTAACTTGCTCTTTGAATTGTCGATGTGTTCCATATGTTAATCGTCTTTCCTTAGTCTGCGCATGCCGCAGCGCCTTCATGCACGTACGTGCACTGTAATAAAGCATGTTGCAAGTCAGAACTGTGCATAGCCTTTTTTGTCCGTTGTGCTGTTTCTGGATGAACTATGAAAATCAACGATCCCGCGTTACCCCTGCGAACTTCTTCCATTTCAAAGCCCACGCTCCCCGAATACCAGAAATTTATGCACGATTCTAGTTTCAAGGTGGACGAGGGTGTAACTGTAACACCCCCTTATTCACATCTTATTGTCAGCTTCACTCCACACGTTGTTAACAGGAATCAAGCTAGCAAACGTTTATCGGCCTTCTTGAGCACCCTACTTACCATTGCGATAAACATTATACTCTTAAGAGCCGCACATAGTACGCAATAGAGTCAAATGTTTGCTTAAATCACCCTGCCGCTGTGAATGTGAACTGCGATTATTAATATCATGCACTGAAAAAAAGTCAGCTGTCGTCCCTCAAAAAAAAAAAAAAAGGGGGGGGGGGCGTTGAGGAGGACAGCATAGCAGTCCGCGTTCGCAGCTTGCAGTTGTGGACACAGATTTCTCTCTTCTAGGGCAGCGAGCGGTTGTAACTCGTGCAGTCGAGAGCTTTAAATATATCCAGGTGACGCGGTTCGCAGGCAAAAGCAAATGAACATGTATACCATTTTCAGCGCCGCTGCTTGTTCCGTTATGCTCGACGACAGCTGCTCTGCCGCTTTGCTGCTCATCGCACTGTCTTGACTCAGCACGACGAAGACAATGCCGGCATCTGACAAACAAACAGCGCGGGCATTGAGCTGCGCTGGCGACAACGCAAACTCCGCGCTTCAGTCAACTTTCGGAACAGGTATTCACAGCGCTTACCTCTCTCCGCACAAACGCAAAGCTTCCAAAGCGCGGACGACGAGAAGCCGACAAAAAGTATTGCCCTTAACGAAACGTAAGACATGCTGCCGCCTTTATTTGTAGTCTCAAGGATCGTGAAAGGTCGTTAATTCGCTTTACAGTTAGACAACACTACAGTGTATTAAACATAACACGTTTATCATCAGCTGCCCCAGCAACACCATAAACACAAGCGCATGGCCGCAAACAACGAAAATGAGGTGCGGCTTTAGTACACAGCTTCGGTGCTTTAATACATATAAAATACTTCTAAATTTGTTCAATTAAATAATAAACAAATAAACTTATTGCCTAGCACTGACACGGAAATATTTATTCTTGTTTATAAAAATAAAACTATTTTGACAATACAACAATAGGTCAGACCGGGTTTTCGCGAAACTTCTTAAAAACATGGCGGGCGCCGAAGAAGATTTAAGCGATGAGATGGAAACAAACCACGACATGAATGAAGACGATGTAATCTCAGACGGCAGCTCTTGCTCAGATGACGACAAGGACGCCGATGCCGAGGAAGAGAAACAAATCGAGGAGTTGCAAGCAAAGGTAGTGACAAGAACACGCGTTTCTCTTGCACGCCGGGCGCACGTTGTGTTGACGTATATGCTCGGAAGAAATGCTGACGATCGCCGGCAATCTAAACCACTCAAGTTCTTTACGATCGAGTTGGGGGCAAGGTGAAACAGGCTTAAACTTGATACAGTATTCTCTTCGCGCTGTTGCTGCATAATGTACAGCACGCTTTCTATTTGCGTAGAATAACCGGCATATCACGCATAAACTGCCAATACATCTTACGCTACGACGCAGACGCCTTCATCCTGTAAGCTGTAGCGCATTTCATTAACCTGTTGTTTGACCATGCTCAGCGTTACTTTGACGGTTCGAAAATGTCACGGACGATAGACTGTACGTACGTGGTGTTGCAGAGTATTTTCGCTTCACGCGAAAGCACGAAATCACCGCTATGCTCTTGCCGGTGTTCGCTGGCCACAGCTGTCCTTCGCTTTTCTTCGTTTGGTTCGAAGCGACATTGCAAGCGCGTCTCTGAGTCTCGGTGGTTTCGCATAGAGTCCACTGCGAGCGTTCGCAACTTCCTAATGTACCGTGCTCCCCCGTTTGCAGATCACGGCCAATCCTTACCAGTACGATAGCCACACAGCTCTGATCGCCTACTTGCGTAACACGGGAAACCTCGAGAGGCTGCGCGATGCGAGGGAAGCAATGGCCAAGATTTTCCCTCTTACGCCTGGTGAGTGCCGGACTGAAACGTGTGACTCTCATGTGGAGTCATTCTTTGGCGATCACTCGTGCCGTTTCCTCGATACGCAGAGTTGTGGCTGGAGTGGATCAAAGACGAGAGTACGTTGTGCGAGGGTGACGAAGAAAAAGAGAAGGTGCTGCCACTCTTCGAGCGAGCCGTTCAAGACTACCTGTGTGAGTGACACATAGGACCTCTTCAAACTGCTTATTCGCTGGCGAAAAGGTTTTATTTTTTTTTCGACGGACTTGACCGAGAGAGGGCCTCAGTGTAGAAGTGAGCTGTGTTGGGAGAAAAGTCAGTGACTCACTCTAAATGTCCTAACCAATTTCATTTCCGCATGTCTGGAGCAACTGTTCGTGTTTTAAGTGCTCCATCAACATGCATATTCACTACATTCAATAACAGCTGCAGCTGAAATATCTTGTGCAATTTTCTTCACGTCACGGTGTTCATGCATTGCCTCTGGCTTGTTATTTTACGTATAGCAGCAGTCAGTAAGCATAAAGTGATGTGGTGCATGGTCTCGGACCTGCTGAATTCGTAAACTGGTGAAACAAATTTGAACTTAAAGTTCAAACTTGGCTATTTTGTGATATCAATTGTTGGACCGAATTAAGCTATCGTGCCTAACACCTTTACATGACATCATGTCTGCACCGTGAACCCTGTTTTACAGGCCTTCACATTTTTTGTTTACATACTTCATTTATTGACACCCGGTAGTTCTTTCAAATCCTCATAAGTTCGGGCACATGGATGGCTTGGCACATTACTCTCTTTGAAGTGTAGCTGCTGTGTCTAGAAACACAACCTGTAGCCTCATGCTTAGCTGCTATAGTATGTTATGAAACCTGCTGCAGCATAAGGAACAAGTTGGGGAAGTTATGAAATAGTTAATAAAAATAAACAGAATTCGTAATACTTTCTAGTTGATTTATTAGACAAAGTGAAACGGGCCCTTCAATTCTCTTCAATTTGTTCCTTCTTTTGTTGTTCCATACTTGTTCGTTTGAGCTGTGCACTTTCAGTCATGTCAATACCTCCCCTGAAAAGCTGGTTCTCAGCCCTTTCCGGTTCCTTCCTCTTGCGTTCCACGAAAGTGGTGTCTGGCGCGAGCACTTGTTGCGGCTGACCGCTCCTGAACGTTTATGCCTCCTAGGTCTAAGCATTGTCTATGGCAGTCCCTACAGCAGTGTCCGCTGTACATGCTGTACCAATAGTTGTGATAGTGTTACTTCCAACACTATGGAAGTTGTGTTGGCTTCAAGCGCTTCTTGCAGAGACTGCACTGAACTACAAGGGACCTCCCATCCTAGTGGGAAAGGGGGTGTTGAGGTAGGCATCTATTATGGGTCATTGGTAATGCCCGCCAATGGGCGTGAAAAAAAATTTTTTTTACTGGTAGACTTACTTTTGTGCCATTTTTTTTTCTGTCATCATTTCCCTGTGCCTGTGTCCAAATACTCTCCAGCGGTGGCCCTGTGGCTGGAGTATGCCCAGTTCTCCATTGGCCTAATGAATGCCGAAAAAGGGCTCGAGCGGGTGCGGCAGGTGTTCGAGCGTGCAGTCACCGCTGCTGGCCTTCACGTCTCCCAAGGCGCTCTCCTGTGGGAGGCCTACCGCGAGTTTGAAATCTGCCTCCTATCTACCGTCCAGGTGTGTACTGCCCTTGTGTTATCGTTCCACGTTTAACATTCTTTCACTGATCACATTTTTCTTGGAATGCATTCCATGCGTCATAAAAATGACTGTAAAGAAAAGTTTGATAACAATCTTAAAACGGGAACACTAACTGCAAAGGCATAAAACAAAACATTGCAGCTCCCCTGATGAGAACAATGTTTTCAAATGTTGTGGTTAAGGTTCCTGTCATAGAAGCTGAGATGTCTTTTTCTTATCCCTGTGTGATTGAAGCTCATCATTTACTCTTTGTAATAGTTAGATTTGGGGTTTTATGTGCCAAAGTCGTCACATGATCGTGTTGCACGCCATAGTGGTGGGTTCTGGAAATTTTTACCATCTGGTGCTCTTTAAACTGCACTGATATCGCGCATAGCATGGGCCTATTCACTCGCAGACAGCTTTTCTTGGCTATGAAGGGAAAACTACTAAGCCAAAGTGGGCATGTGCCAATGCTAAAGAATATGCACTCAAACATGGATATAACAAAGTATCGGTTATTATGAAGTAAATGAAAAATAGCTGTGTCATAATTACAGTGCCACAAAAATAAATGTTTCTAATGAATTTTTGGACTAGCAGCTTTCAGTTCAGCAGTTTTCTGTTCTTATTATGATGTTCCCGGAGCAGACAGGTTTCTGGGAAAACATTGACTTTATTAAATGAAAGTTTATACAACTTTAGGGGGACCACCTGCAAGACACCGAATAAAAATTGTGCTATTTCAGACTGTTCATAAGTATAATGGAAGCACAAAACAAAGGCTACTCACTGCTTTTAAGCCTATTATTATTATTATTATTACTATTATTATTATTATTATTATTATTATTATTATTATTATTATTATTATTATTATTATTATTATTATTTAAAGTGTGGCATTCAGGTTATTCCGTGTATTACTTATAGTGTGCCTATTTCATTGACTTTTGTACATCAAACATTTAGGATATCTACCTTACAGTTCCACTGCATCTTTTAGACAAAGGGGGTGTACAGGAAATTGAATTCTGGCACAAAAATGTTTCTTGTTAGCTTTAAATGCTAGACATCTTCAATTTCATTACTAGTGGATTTGTTTGTACAGTGCTGTTTGGTTTCTATCGTAGTTTGCCAACATGTGCCTTTTTATGAGTATTGGATAAGTTTGGTTCATGAAGTATTAGTTATTGCTAAGCTCATTAAGTATTCTTACTTATTGTATTACTGATATTGTTCTCACCAATTATTCAGTTTGTAGGGTCTCGGCGAGGCGAACGAGCGCCTCGCCACGCCACGCTCTTGGGGTGAACGGACACAGTAGACGCGGTCGGTACCAAGCACACAACATACATACATTTATTAACTAATTTAGACGACGATATCGTCCGCCGAATGTTACATCAATTTTAATTAACACACTACCATACAAACAACATAACGCAATGACACACTAAACACGCAATAACATGATAAATGCACACTAACACACCCAACACCTTAACACATACCCAAGGCGGCGTCGCCAACGCCTGACTTTCCACGTGAGACCCCGCCGCGAAGCCCGCGGTGCCGAGCACTGGGGACCCACGCTACAGACAACCGTTCGCGGCAGCCGCCACGCGCAGAAGAGGCTCGCTCAACCCTCGCCCACCACCAAGGCCTGCCTTCCACCAGGGGCCACCGCCGGCGCTACCACTCTACCAACAGTAATACTCAAAGCGAACACAACGCCATCTATGGCCTGGCGGTGGTCACCACCGAAATAAAGCCTTGGGGCGAGACACGTGCGCCACGCGGCGCAGACAACTTTACAGGGGGGGTGTCAGCACCCCCACAAGTTGAAGTGTCAGTTTTTGAAAACCAAGCATGGGAGATACATTTGCAGCCTAAAGCATCTTTCTCGACTCAAAGAGCTATAACATTTGCAGGATTTGGTACGTACTGTCGATTTTTTTTTTATTCCTGAGCAGCAATACGTGACTCTATGCATTGAATCGTTTCCAAGAAGTTTGCCTTTTTAACTAGCACAAAAATGGTGCTCGCGGGACTGAATGTTTATTCAGGATGAAATTTAGGACCAGCATAATTTGTCTAAGATTCTCTCTGGGATATTTTTTTTTGGTACTAGGACCTTTTTTGGTACTAGGACCTTTTTCGTTTTCTTGTTTTACACAATATTGATTGTTAGGCTTTGCCTTTATTGAGAATAGTGTATCTAAGACGAAATACTGTTTATTTGGCTGCTGCAAT